CTAGTTTTTATTTACCTATTTGGACACTTCCCATCCATATCTCGATATATATCCTAGCACAAGAATTTTACGATAACCGCGCATGTTCCAAACCTTCAATTAAAAAACTGTTGCCCACTTTACAGGCAATCCCAAAACTCTGAATCCCATGCCCATCGAGGAGTCCTCCATACGCCGCGCCTGCTCGCTGAGCGACCTGCACATGGGCAACTTTGGCAAGCGTAAGCACCCTCGTTTATATAAATAATATTTTGTATTTAAATAAATTAATTCATTTGGTTATGTTTGACACCATTTTGCAGCTGGAAAACCGAATGGCACACCTCAAAAGCCACAGGCTCAGCACCGAAATGGAAATGTCTCGCGATCAGCCAGCAAAAGAAACAGTCTGCAGGGAAAGACTGGTTTAGGTGCCTCTAGCAACTCAATGAATGTCCTCAATCAGGGTGTAAGTTAAATATATATATAATAAAGCAAAACTATTTTTATATACCCCTGCACACATAAAATGTCGTTTTTCCACTGAATTTTCGATCGAACCTATGGTTACTATATAGTATTGTCCAATTTTATAATATCAAAACGTAATTTTAAATTTATTATTTATTTTTCATTTATTTTTATTATTATATAATTAAAATTTATTATATTTTCTTTTATTAAAACTAGAAAAAGAAGCTTGGTCGATTTTCAATGAATTTTTCGATCGATCTCATGGCTGCTATTTATTTTATTTATATTTGAATAACATTAAACCCTAATTCTAAAAAAATTAAGTATAACTATGTCTAAAAGCGGAAATATAACAAAATTCCTTTTATTTTTTAATTTTTCCAGAGCGACTCGGAACCCGAGGATAGCAATCGATTGCGTAGTGCCAGCAACGGACAGGGACGCAGTAATGGACCCATTGGTCAGTACAAATATTGTTAAATATATAAAACAAATAATAATATTATGCTCCACCTGCAGCGGCCAATCGGCAATACAGCAACAAGATCAACAATGTCAACAACAATCGTCGAAAGACACCAAACTTTAGCAGTGGTAAGTGAACTTTATTCAACTATTTTTTAAACAAACCAAAATAATAATGATTGAACCCCTTTCAGCCACACCCATGCAGGACGACTCCAGCTCCGAGGAGACGCCCAACAGCACTGTGAACAACAAGCCAATTGTGCCACCGAGGCCAAGAAATTTGGCTTTCGATCACAAGAGCAAGCTGATGATCAACAATATTGGCAGCCCCGGCGGAAATGCCAGCAAACAGAGGAGTGGAGTAAACTCCACCGAGGATTACGAGGGCACAGATCGTAAGTTTATAATGAAAAATATATAAAACAAGGTTTTTAAAATATATATTTACTTGCAGCCGAAGCCCAAGTACACAATGTGATCAATAAACTTTATACAACAACCCAGGCAGCCATGCAGCTACATGCGAATCTAAAAAATTCACTGCTGCTTAAGGAACTGGAGAACGCCCTGATCATGTCCAGGAACATGCTCAGCAGTATACCGAATAGGTAGGATTGATTGTAACTAAGATTTAGTGCTGCATGAACCTACAGAAGCTATACGAAGAATAATATCACTGTTTTTAAATATAAATAATTAAATCAGATTTTAATGTTGTTGTCAAACAAAAAATAATATAAAATTGACCTAAGCAGTAACCCCCTCGTCAATTTTGTTCGGATCGACTTGAAATCATAAAGAATAATAAATACATAATAAATAAATAAAAATAAAGACCAGGAAAAGTACAATTTAAAAGTTTCAAGTTAGACTGTTGATTCATGCCAGGCTAGAAATAAACCATATCGAAAACAATTTATTAAACAAAATATTATCTTTTTATTGCAGACAAGCGGAGAAGACAAACAATGGAGCCAGCGGAATGGGCGGTGGAATGGGAGTGGGAGTGGGCGGTGGTGGGGGATTGAACCACGATCAGCTGAGCGCTGACAACGGAGACTATCTGATGATGGTCAACAACTGTGCCGATCTTTTGAGCAATTTACGCACGAAGCACAAACCCGATGACTGTGAGAATAACTCCTAGTGTGTAGAGCTTAGGCTAGACTAAATGACTAAAACTACAAACGGATGGCAGCCGATCTGCGGGGCGGAGACTAACCCACACCTATTTATTTAACTGAAACAACACACAACCACACAGGCGAATGGCAAACAGATCAAGCAAGCAATCACTAATTTGTTATTAATAACCATTCACAGTTGATGTAAATGTCTTCTTTTGTTAGTAACTAGATAAAGTTGCGTAGCCGCTAAGTTTTCTGTTTCGTTTTCTGTGCGCGTGAGCATTTCTTTTAACAATAATTTATGTATGGCAAGAAAATCCGTTTAGCTTGAATTAAATTCTGTAAATGTTAAGTTTAATAAGCAGTTTTGTACGTGTTAAGTGTTATTTGAGTTTAAGGCGTCGATGAAACGAAGGATGTCCAGATATTGGGTATGAAGCGAATTGTTACAAAGTGCGCTTAGTCTATGCCTTCATTCTGTATGATTTATGTTCTTTAGTTTGTTTGTATTCTGTTTGTGAATCAGTCAAAATGTAAAAGACAAAACTAAAAGAAATATGTGTCAAATTTGAATTTATTCCAAAATTTCAATTTATACCATTATACTATGTATGCCTCTACTCACATTATACTTATATGCATCTAGAAATGCCACAAATTATGTGAAGAAACGAAGATATTTCAGACTTTTGATCAGAGCGAAAAACAAATCTATTTCCAAACACATTGTTCTGTAATTATTCTGTATTAGTTAATTATTCGATTGTATTTACAACAATTATAACACTACCTATAAATATACATATATATATACCTAGATATGAACTTGAATTAGTCCTAAAATTTACATTACAATAATTTACAACTAAACGAAATGTATTAAAATTAACTTCAAATAGGAAAAAACCAACACTTACGATTAATTATGCTATCTAAACTCAGAACTAAACTAAAAAAAAACAAACACTAATTCAAAGCAAAAATAATACATAATGCATAATTTTTGAAAACATTAAACAACGTTTCTATTTCTTCATTCCGGTTTTCTGTTAACAACTCGAGAACCCATTCCGTTAACAACTAAATACTGGGTCCCCTTTGTTCTTATTGTTGAATATTTTCTTTGATTTGACAGCCAAGAGTTGGGGGTCTCAGAAACCTTAATCCCCAGAGATCTGAGCCATATGCAATAGTCATATGGCAACACGAATCAAAAAAAAAAAAAAACCAACTCACTTTCGATGTAAATAGGATGGGCAGCATCTGGAACCAAATAATATCACTCGACTAATTCAACTAACTGCCAGGAATTGTGTATTGTGTAACATTTAAGAAATATTGAGTCGAATAATAAAATATAATTCAAAGTTTATCGAACAAAAGTAAAGTTTGAAAAGCACGGCGAAAGAGTCAATTACAGATTTTTTAAAATTGCCTTGGCAATCAGGGTTTATTAAAGCCATCAAAGAGATGACCGCCCAGCAGGTGATGTAATCGACAAACATGTGAGACCCATGTGGCATATTCGTTGGGCATAAGGGTGAACCTTATTAAGTTCTACCGATATGTTTATTTTTTGTTAGGGCTATCTGATACACTATAGCAACAATCAAATAAATCATTTGCTCCTATAAAACAAAAAATAATTTTTTTAATTTTATTATGAATAAAATAATAAATTTAGAGATTATTATTATGCATTTTCGTAACAGTTTTTCATTGTTTAACTTAAATTACAACACTTTCCACCAAAGTTCGCTCTAGTATAGTCTGTTAAATTGATACGACTTTTTTTATTTTGTAAATGGGAAAAGTTCGATTAATTAATTTTTTTAAGGCTCAAAGTATTTTTTAGGAGTTTATGATAAATTTACAAATTACAATATTTGCATATACTATGATACTTGGAACATTTTTAACTTTTTAACAAGGTCCACTCAACTGCACCACCCACTTGGAAACCCAATTTTCGACATCACAATGTGAGCAGGCAATGGTTGTTCAATTCGGCGCTGACCCACGGCCAAGGGATGTGGCCATTGATACTTTTGGCAGCCGTTGGGCTTCAATTAACGTGTGTCAATATTGAGCTAGGCCAACAACCGGAAGTTTATGTGGACTGAGAAAGGAAGGTCCTGTCGCGACCCACACTCGATAACCCAATAAAACGGAATGGCCACGTTCGATGATGGACTCACCCCGAAAGCCAACACCCTCCCTCCTTTTTTTTGCCTCGTCGCTTGGTCTCTTTCTGGCATTTACGCTTTATGCATAATTTACGGCAGCGTCCAATCATAAAGCGGGCGAAAACGCTTCCAAAAAGTGCCAGACACGCCCTTGTCCAGCGCCACCCACAATTTCGAGGTCCCCTTTTCACAACAGGTAGAAAAATAGATATACAAAATAAGTGCACAACGAGAAAAAACTGTATTTCTTTTTCTTGTCCATTTCAATGTTTGGGAGATAGGAAGTTGGTTGTAATTATTAAAGCAAGAATTATGGCTTTAATTGGCAAAATGTTAGAAAATGAATTCTATAAAAGGTATAACAAATTTATATGTTACCCAATGATCCACATAGAGTAATTTATTGCTAACAAAATATTTCATGTGTTCTGGCTTTCCAACAAAGTTCACTTTACTGTAACCATTTGTATTTATATGATTTTTTATGCTACAATATTAATGACATATTTCGAAAATGGGAAAAAAGACACGAACTGATATAAATGTTGTTTTCTTATCACGTGGGTCTTTCTAAAAACTTCAAACTTATAATTCGGAAACCTAACAAAAATATGTAAAAATTAAAATACAATTTTTTAGAGCTACCTCATTTAAAAAGGCAATTAAAATAAGCAAGTTTTGGAATATTTATTAATAACAAAATTAATTTATTAGCAATATTGAACAGAAATAATTAAGAAAACATGACTAAAAATATATGCACGGGTAAGTGAAGGTTATAAGTGGAGTCACTAGTAGAACACATCGCAATCGGTATAGGTATAAAAGAAGGTCGATACGCAGGCACTACTCCCATAGGCCCGCACATGATTATATCTCCGAGCCACATGAACCGTATATATTGAGATCAAAAATAGCAGAAGGAAGCAAAAGATGACGAGATAGCGGGTCCGAAGATCCTTGGACGTGGATGTCGGACATCGTGGCATTATCTGTCGGGCCTTATTAACTCTCATTTTGTGGCCACACTCGCAGCAGCGCACCCGATTCAGGATCTGGACCATTTCATAATTGCGCGAGTTCTTATATTTGGCAAAAGTCTGGCTCAGGCCATCGAACAGCTCCTGCAATTCGCAAGTTTTCTTCATGTTTCGGGAAAAATAGGTTTAATGCTTGAAATACGGATTTTTGATTTCTAGTTTTTGGAATAATTGACACGATATTACAAGATATAGTATCAATTCATATATGAACCTTTTTTTATGAGATGACGTATTTTGTCAAAAATAACCAAAAGTATAAGTATTGATAAATTTTATATCCTGCAAAAGTGCAAAAACTCATTCAAATAAATCCCAAAACAATAATTGACTTAAAAAAGATATATATTTTCTATAAAACTCCGAAATCGCACTCAGGATTATGAAAATTTAAACTTGCAAGATCAATTTTAAGATGAAAAGTCGCTACTAGACGATACGACAGTACTACTTTTGCTGGTACTTTCCACAGTACTATTGTCACCAGTATCACCACCAGAAAGGCAATTACAGCGCCGCGATGCCGTCAAAACTATTATTATAATGATAACTATCCATATGACGTCACGGAAAACGATCATGGAAGCCAGAATGTATTCATGCTTGCCAAACTTGTGACGCGTTTTATCGCGAACTATTAGTTCAATATCCACCAGGACCACAACGATCAAAACGAGCACGAGTACGAAGTTCAACAGAACGTAAAGTAAAAATTCCTGAAAACAAAAAAAGAGGATAGCGTGAATGATCATAACCAATCCGACGGCAAAGAGGTAAGCCACAGGAATCTTGTGACCGATTTGCCACGGAGCGAACTTAGAATACACAACCATGGCCATGATCACAAAGGCCAGAGTTCCACAAGGTACCAAAACCTAGTTGTATAAATAGTATAATTTTAGATATAGGAATAAATGCAATTAAATTAAAGCAAGCCAAGGCCTTACCGTCAACGGATGATACCAGATGGCCGACGCGGAAATCAAGATGGAATGGACTATAATCCAGACTATGAAGAAAGAAATCCTGACGATCTTGTGCCGGAAAATCTTAATTGCAAAGCACAAGATTGCTTGAACTATTATGAATGCCAGCAAGGCGGGAATGGCTAAGAAAAACTCTACTTCTATGATATACAAGTTCAATGAAGGATAGCTCCAGAACAGGACCAATGGCAGGAGACTCACTATTAGGGATACCTGAATAAAGGTCCCAGGATAATTGTCTGGAATTTAGATCCATGCAATTGAAACTTACGTCCAATAAGAGCAATACTCTCCAGATAAATCTGCGCTTAACACGAGGATTAGCAAAGGGATTCTCCTGCCGCGGTCGAGTGCAACAGGCTATATTAAAAAAGCAACACATTTCTGCCACTATAGAGCTTCCTTAGTTGTAAAAATTTATTTTTCCAAATATTTTTGAGTTTAGAGTGACGACAAACTCAAGGAAACTTAAGTGCTTTGTATATATATATATATATATATAATTCATATATTTATTAATCTTCTAAGCCAATAAGAACTAGCAGGAATACGAATAAAATATGAGGCTCCAAAGAAAATCTACAAATCATGAATAAATGTTGTATCAGCTTATTTAATATTTTATAAAAACCTTTACACTCAGTACTATAAAAATTGTAAATTACAATATTAATTTAGATAGATGAGTCTGTATTAATATATTTTATGAATCTACTAAGCCAATAAGCTCCAGCAGATATAAAAAGAGGAATATAATGTCACTGTAAAGGAACATGGCAGCTAATATAAAATCCGACTGGTCAAACTCATTTTTGTGTGTCTTGCCGCCAATAATCATTTGAAGATCAATCACAATAAATATGGAAAATAGGAGTACGCCCAGAGATACATATACTATGCGTAAGATAGGGAAAAATAAGGAAAATATGCCCATTATTATTACTACTAGGCAGAGCACAAAAACGAAGACACAGCATCCGGTGAAGTCGCATGGGGCAAATCTGGCAAAAAGCCCAAGTAATATCACGATGACGGAACAAACAGCCACAGCTATAAAAACCTGATTGGCAGAAAGTCCATTTAATACGTAAATTGCAGGCAACTATGATTTACTTACCAATTTCGGATGATATCGGACCGCAAAACAGGCCACCAATGCCGCATGTGCAATCACATATATTACCAACAATATGTATTTAGAGGGGGACTTCCGAAAAAGGTTGATGCAAAAGCACATCATAATGGACATTGTCATATTGACAGCTATGGCAATAAGCCCTATATACCAGTGTCTTAATAGGAACCTCCTGGCTCCCATATGGAAAATACAAAATGTCATTACCAATACGGTGAAAACTAAATTGATCTGCAATGTACGTTCGGATTATTGATTATTTTTTATAGATACTATGCACTTACGGCCACTATCATAAGAACCTTACTGATGAAAACACGGCGGGAAAATGAGTCGTCAAACATAATTTCCTCATCTCTCCTTGGCCTCCTATTTCGCGAAAACCACGACATACTTTTGTATACAATAACAAGTCCTCAGATCGTACAAAATCGTAGATATTTCTTTCTGTACTAAGTTGTTTGACAAGAAATGCGATTCTAAATGATCAAGAAATTAAATAAGCAATAAAATTATAACTTTGCGCAGAAGGTATTAATAAAGTGGAATCATATAAATTTACCGATTATGAAAATTTAAATTTGTTTACTGCTTAAATTTGTTTACTATTTTAGGAATGTATAATTATACCTGACATTTAAATAGGAACAATTTGAACTTTACTTACAGGCTTCCGGTTTTAAAGTAGTATATCTCTAAAGTCTTGTTGCTTTCGTCTCTAAAATCTGGGTTTAAAACTTGGTTTGTAATCTTGGTGCGATTTTTTGTTATTTTTATGATGTAACCCCTTTCTAAATCTCCGAAAAAATCGTCTTTGCAGAAAAGAGAACAAAAACCTGCAGTTCTAAATCTATAACTTTTCTTTTACGCATCTGATTTCAAAGTTGTGGCTTACTTCTCTAAAAATCTGCGATTAAAACTTGGATTGTAATTTCGGGCCGATTTTTTTGCAAAGTTTTCTTAATCTCCGAAAAAACCGTCTATGCAAAAAAGTGACCAATAACCTGCAGTTTTAAATCCATATCTTTTCATTCAGGCATCTGATGTCAATTTGGTATATCTTAAAAGAATTGTGACTTAAGCCCTTAAAAATTTGGGTTTAAATTTTGTTTTGAAATTGTGGGTTGACATTTTTACGACATAATTCCTTAATTAATTTCCGAAAAATAGAATCCCTGAAAAGTGACCAAAAACCTACAGTGTTAATTCTATAACTTTTCTTTCAAGCATCCGATTTCGAAGTGGCATGTCTTAAAAGTCTTGTGGATTAGTGCTCTAAAAAACTGCGTTTAAAACTTGGTTTGTAATTTCGGGTCGATTTTTTGCAATTTTTATGATGTTACCCCTTTCTTAATTTCCCAAATAATCGACTTTGCAGAAATGTGACCAAAAACCTGCAGTTCTAAATCCATAACTTTTCTTCTTGGCCTCCGATTTCAAAGTGGTATACCTTTAAAGTCTTGTAGTTTAGGCCTCTTAAATTCGGCATTTAAATTTTGTTTTGAAATTTTAAGTTGTTATTTTTACGATATATCTCCTTAATTAATTTCCGAAAAATAGAATCCCTGAAAAGTGACCAAAAACCTACATTGTTAATTCTATAACTTTTCTTTCAAGCATCAGATTTCGAAGAGGCATGTCTTAAAAGTCTTGTGGATTAGTGCTCTAAGAAACTGCGTTTAAAACTTGGTTTGTAATTTCGGGTCGATTTTTTGCAATTTTTATGATGTTACCCCTTTCTTAATTTCCCAAATAATCGACTTTGCAGGAATGTGACCAAAAACCTGCAGTTCTAAATCCATAACTTTTCTTCTTGGCCTCCGATTTCAAAGTGGTATACCTTTAAAGTCCTTTAGTTTAGCCCTCTAAAATTCTGCATTTAAATTTTGTTTTAAAATTTTGAGTTGTTATTTTTACGATATATCTCCTTAATCAATTTCCGAAAAATAGAATTCCTGAAAAGTGACCAAAAACCTACAGTGTTAATTCTATAACTTTTCTTTCAAGCATCAGATTTCGAAGTGGCATGTCTTAAAAGTCTTGTGGATTAGTGCTCTAAAAAACTGCGTTTAAAACTTGGTTTGTAATTTCGGGTCGATTTTTCTCAATTTTTATGATGTTACCCCTTTCTTAATTTCCCAAATAATCGACTTTGCAGAAATGTGATCAAAAACCTGCAGTTCTAAATCCATAACTTTTCTTCTTGGCCTCCGATTTCAAAGTGATATACCTTTAAAGTCTTGTAGTTTAGGCCTCTTAAATTCGGCATTTAAATTTTGTTTTGAAATTTTAAGTTGTTATTTTTACGATATATCTCCTTAATCAATTTCCGAATAATTAATTAAAACGTAATCTTTAAACTACTATTTGCCTTATGTCCTTTAAAATAAATTATACAAAAATGTTAAAGGAAATAGTTTGTCTTCTATGTTTTTAATGGCCATCTGAATCCTGTTCAGATATATTAATCATCTGACCTTAGATGAAGTTATTTTTAGAGAGAAGCTTTTTCCTGTACAGCTCTCCTAAAATCTTTAGAGTTTGCATAATTTTTTTCTAGAAAAAAGGCGTCGAAACAGGCCAAACTTATGGATACTAATTAATGGAATTTTTTCACATAATGAGCGACGCCTCGCTGCCCGCCAATGTGGAAATGTGAAAATGTGAAAATGCGGCATAAAAAATTAAGGATGGAGAATGGAGAATGGAAAATCTCGGAAGCTGGCGGCGCATTCGTGACTCCTCAGGCAGCAAAAATAGAAAACCTGCGGGGCGGTTTTGTGCTCAGGTGTGAATAAGCGTGCAAGAAGTTGACATAATGCCAGGCCAAACGGACGGACAATGGCAGGAGCAATAAAATCGCAAGGACTCGTCGTCGGCAGGAGGAGAATTCCGTTTCAGGGGAGAGGAGACAGGAGACAGGCTGCATTGGCAGTCGGTGAACCGCACTAATTGAGCCGCGTTACGTCGACTCGAATGCATTTGAATGTGTTGCCAAGCAGCGCGCCGATGCCGATCCCATCCACATATTGTCATCGTTTTCCGGCCTCTCGCCTCGCGTTTCTCGCTGGGAAGTCGAGCAACTGCTGCCCGGAAAAGCAAATCCACCCAGCCATACACACCCACCCACCAAGCCAAAATCTGATCCCAGTCAGCTGCTCTTCATCAAAAATATGGATCGAGGGGTCAAAATTAAGCTGCGATTGTCTCACAAAGCTCGGATGAAGTATTTGACCCATGCAAAATATAATAAAGAAGGATATGAACAGTCCGACATAGATTTAAAATAATCTGGTTGGGCTCTATGACGATCAAAAGGTTTTTAAAACGAGTTATACATTTTTCATCAAAAGGTACTTTAAGCTTGGAAAGCTTTATGTTAAAATATTTAATAGTTTGCTTATAAGTCTAAAAAATGCTATCAATAAAACCAAAATACTTAAAACTTATTTAAAATATTTGTCTCGTTAATAACCATTTCAAATTTATAAAAGTAATACAAATACAGAAATTTTTCAGTTGAGTAAATATTTTTAAATCTGTATAAGTGAAAAGTGATTTTAAATCTCTAACTATTTTGAATCAGAGTCGATACACCAATTAGAACAAAATATTCAATAACTTTGTATGATAAAGAACTAAATAAAATAGAAGTTAAACAAGTTGTATAACTCATTTTTAAAGTGCCCAAGAAATATTGAATTTTATAGTCTGAATGTGATTTTACTCACCACTAAGCCAAGCATTAGCGACCAGATTACTTGTCACAGATATCCGTTTTGTATGATCTTAATCGAGGCTGAGCCGTATTTCTGTCAGTGCATGGGTCACATCCTCCCCCCGCCCCTCGAAGAATAAACTATAAGTACTCATATAGAATTTTGTAATGCTCGCATCTTGAGCGCCCCGTGGTTTCCTCTTATTTTCCTCATTTTTGTTCTAATGGCAGCCAGCCATTGACATGGGACACTTTCGATGTGGAGGAGTGGGCGTGGCAGAGGCAGGGGCAGGAGCAGAAGATCATGTCATAGTTCAGAGAGTCGACAATTAACGTGGGTTAGGTGTTGTTTTGTTCTCCTTTTTTTAGCCAGCATATTGTTGGCTTGGGCGGGTATAAAAAAGATACACTTATATGGCCATTAAGAGGTGTGCCGAGGGTGCCTTGTAATTGAAAGGAAAATGCAGCTTTAGCTTTTTAAGAAATTGTAATCACAGCAGATTGCGTTGGGCTGAACTCAGCTGAGCAGAGTGATACGAGGATATGGGGATATGTTGGAATATAAAGATTCCAGGCTACAAAGCTGATAGGTCACAGCACCATTACACTGATAAGAAAAAACTATTTAAATGAAGTACCAAATTATTGGACATTTAATATGGCTTAAGTTGATTAAATATTTTAGTTACTAAAATATTTTTGCAAAAATAATAATATTAACTTTTAAAAATATGTACAAAATTTTAAAATAACTAAAAACAGCAATGGATGATACCAAAAAAAAAAATATTTTATCGAGTATTAAGATCTTGGACTTAATACGTTTTTTTTCTCAAGTAACATTTAAAGCAAAAACTATTTAAATGTTTTTTTAACAGTGCAGGTTCAGACAATCCCTCGCACTTGGTGGCGTAATCATATCCGGAAGAGATTACGCTGCAATTCACGCTCGACTTACATCCCTGCATCCTTGCAGCCATCCATCGTGTCCTTATTGTTCTGCCTCATTTCGGGTGATAAGCGCAGTCGTTGTCTGCTGTACTTTCCCACCTCCCAGCCTTTCGAATCGGTGGACAATGGAATTGGATTATAATTTTTTATTGTACGGAGCCAGCAGCTCGAGTGCTTGGATATTTTCCATATTTTTTCCCCCTGTTGCGTGCTCGAGTTGTTTTGTGGCACAATCGAAGGGGCGTGCCATGGGGCCCCCCGCCCGCAGATAAAAATTATTGATATGCTAAAAACAAAGCACGCAAAATATTATGCTTATTTCAGGAGACTGAAACAAAAAATTATGGCGCCTGCGGAAATTGTTTATGGCGGGTAAACAGTTTTTCGTGGCATGGAATGGGAGCCGCCAATATGGCGGAAGTTATTTTATTATTTTGTGGCCTGCCTATTTCAAATTCGATTAAGATTTTAAATTGGAAAACTATATTTCTTCAACAATTTAACAGTTTTTGTGGTTCCAAACGGTTGTCGCCAACCGATTTAATCTAAGAAATGTTTAGTTTTGTAAAAACACAAATCATGGAAACTTCACAATTTTTTTACATATTTTAAATTATATTTTCAAATGCGGTATAAAAAAAATTGACTGTAAAACTGGTGACTGGTGTTATTAAAACATTTTTCTTATTATTATTCTGTTTGACATAGAAGGCTTTTGTAATAATTTTTGTTATATCGGCAGATGTACTTCCCAGTTATTAAAAAAATCTTATTACATAATTAAATAAACTAAAACTTATTATTAATACATCATTTAAATATATGTTATGCTTCTCCTTTATTTTTTCCAGTATGCAATATAGTTTTAGAGCTTTTCTTGAC